CAAATGTGCAGTCCAAGTGCTCTCTTAATGATTAGATTTTCAAACAAATCCTGTCCAGTTATCTTCATAGATAACTTCAAATTTTAGTGCATAGCATGTCAGCATTAATATTGTAATCACTTAAGGGATTTATTCTATATTTGGAACACAGATGTTGTATCACTGTGCTAGGTTACCTGCATGTGGGGTTTGCTTGATATATAAYAGATCTGTCAGTAGAAATTCAGGCAGTTCAATTGACTGCTGTGCAGCTAAGACATGTGCAATTAGACAAAGATATATCCCAGCTTTTCAACTTTTTCATGATACATTCATGTATTTTTTCAAACGTTTTTTACTCTTCAGTATCAAAATAAGTGGTCTGATTTTTATTTTTTTACATCAGGCTTTAGGCTTTTTGGCCTAAGCTGGTGTACATCATAAATATTCAGATACACATAGAAAATCCTGATCAAGATTTTGCTCTTTTTCTAAGCAAAATGAGATAAAACCAGTCAGATATCCAAGTTGTATCCACTCGAGAGAATAATAGACTTGTTTTGCTCATGGTGATCTGTGTCATTACTTTGGGTTACTTTAAGATTTCCTTTATATGTCTATATATGCCATTATTTTTACCTATCTATTCATATTCACCAGCTATTCATTTATCTGAATGTTTAAAGTCCTATAGTAGGAATCCTGTTAAATTCCATTTTAACTCAGTCACAAAAAGTTGCAACTTTGAAGGTTGCTCAAAGTAGGAAAAACTTGTAAATAAACAGAAGCTTAGTCAAGAAGTGGTCTCTGACAGCTTAACCAACTTGTAACGTATGGTGTTGAAGACGTGGATCATTTCTGTCCAAATTTGAGTAGTTATTTTGTTAATTTGAAAGCAGAAAGTGCTCAGACTGTGAAAGATGGAGCCTAAAGACAGTTGTATCTTTAACGTGGAACTGAGGGGGTTTCCTCAAGTTAATCTATAATTAGGCTGGTTGCATTCTTCATGCACCAGGTTTATAGATCCTGAGTAAGATCATCCCAGTCACTCCTGGACTATTCCTCTGCAGGTTTCTTCTCTGTCAAATTCCTGTATGTTTCATTTTCCTAAGCACTCTTTAAACTGATGTATTCTATCAGCCAAGCCATTTTTTTTTCTTTTTAACATGTTCTTACCACTGCTGAAAACAGACACCTTTATTATTAACATATTATTATATTATAGACAGCACCTCACCTTTTCTAGGGCACTTTAGGAATAAAGCTAGCTGGTCACTCTGACCAGTCRCTGCAGCTGTGTGTCTGCTCCCTTTCTGGTAGTCTTCCAGCTTTCACATCRATCTGTTAAAGACAGAAGTAACATTTGAGTATGAAGATTCATAACTGGTCACTTTCTTACAGATATGTGACAAGGGAAGTTTTGTGASCTGATAAATACTATACTGCTAATTCATGACACCATTTATTCGGCCCTTCTAACTGAACTGCTCATTCCACCAGTGGAGGTGCAATGAGTTACTGTTTACATTCCTTAGTTTTACAACATACAACTTATATTTGAATCCTGATTGAGTTGAACTGCATTTTCTAACACATCATTTGAGTTGCTGTGTCCTGAGCAGACTTCCATTTCTTTGATTATAGCCCCATTCATGCAGTGATAGCCTGTGCTCATTTTCTCTTTGCACAGTGGTTAGTCTGTTAGCTGAAAGATTAGCATTATCAGTGACAGCTAAGCCTGCTGCCATGTGCCTGTTAAGCCAGGTTATCTCCATATCCATGCTTGTTCACACAGTGAGGTTTCATGGCAGTGGGAAATGCAACGCAGAGGAAGCATCTCTGTATGATACCAACAACAGCTAGAGCATTCAGCCAATCTGTGTTTCCATCCAAGGCACACACAGTGTCTTCAGATGAAAYCCCAAAGTTGTTAGTTTTGTTTGAACACCACAACTTTGTACCATGTTCCACAGCATCCCTATCTTCGATCCTGTTTCTTCTCTCCGGCAGCAAATCTCAGGRCTAGCATTTAAGTGCATTTATCATCACAGCTACAAAGGAGGGCAGTGCTATTACTCTATTTACAATTTAAGAAACCTGGGGCACAAATGGGAACAGTGACTCAGAGAGGTCACAGGAAGTCTGTGGGAGAACTGGGAGGTGAACTCTGGTCATTCAAGTCCAGAGTTAGAGACCTGAACTGGCCTCTTTGATGAATGTATTTTCATAAACTCAGGATTTTTGGTGCTTGCTTTTTTTCATTCCTTATGAGRGTGTGAATCTTGAAGATTTATCAAGTTTAACTCCAGCCTTTTATACTGCCTTTTTTTTTTTTTCTCAGCTTTGAAAAATACTCATAATGGAAAGCAGAAAACTTTCTTGACATTTAYAGTTGTTTAGTTACCTTTCTTTGCCATTTCAATTTTATAGCTATATTTCTATATATTTTTCTGCACCTGTATTTTACTGAAAAGTTAAATTGCATTGATATATTAATATGTGATGGCTAATCTAACTTAGTGCTTCCCATCAGACTACATTGACTACCTCAACTTCCATATGTCACTGCCTATATTGGTGAATATTAGATATTATCCAATTTTCTCTTTTTAAGAATCTGCCTAGATTTGTTTTTAATGGAAGTCCATAGACAGGCATGTTTTCAAAGGGATACATGGGCTACTCTGATAGCCTTTTTTCTTAGAAAATAGTTTTATGTTTGCAACCCTGTCACCAGTGTTTTGAGTGCTAAATTACTAGTCCTGGAAAGACCACTGCTGTTAAGCATACAACTGCTGTGAAGCATACAGCATACAACTGCTGTTAAAGAGATATAAGTGCTGTTAAGCATAAAAACACCACTTAAAAACTCTACACCAAGGTCCTTAATATTGAAAAGACTCTGAAAAGACCAAGTAGTTCAGTCATCAAAAAGATGTTTGGTCAGATTGCCAGTTGAATCAAAGATTTTATGACTCAGTTTATAGCCAAAAAGTAACTGAGTGGTATTCTGGTTTTCTTGCATCACCAGAAGTCACTGAATCACCTTTCCTTTGGAATATGAGCTCTCCTGCATTCTGAAATAACATTTCCTTTAGCCATTTTGCTCCTTCTCTTTTCTAGATGAAAATGTAAGCTCTTAATGAACTATTTATTCCATTGTAATAAAGCAGCATGTCCTATTAAAGGCCAGTTAGCCCGTGGACAGCTAGCCCTGCTAGGCCTGCCCTAGTATCAGGCACACATACCTGTAGCCAATTAATTAAATTAAATGGGTGCAGCCGAGGGGGGGGCAGTAGGTAAAAAGCTCTTCAGGAGGGAGAGGGGAAAAAAGAGCCGGAAGCTTCTGTGAGGAGTGTAGGAGAGGCCTATGGAAGCAGCCTTAGGAATAGTGTTACTGTASATGCACTGTAATGTGTGCAAGGGGAAAACAGCAAGTAGGGGACACTGTCTTTTTTCATCATTGTAGGTGCTTCTGGGACTGTGAGAGGATTAGGCCTGACTCTCATAAATAAAAGAATAAAGGTGATAGGGAGGGAAGTGTGAAGCAGTGTTGCTTAGGATGCTATCTCTGTTTTTGTTTCTTTTTTAGAATATATGTCACCTCTTAAGGCATGTCTAACCAGCATAATAGAATGGAGGCAGGTGCTCCCATGAAGATTCCCTGTTAGTCAGGTGTGCATTTCCAGTAGTCCAAATGTCTCTGTCTACTACAAACCTTTATATTCCCTTGGGCCTGGGATCACATTAGATGATGGCAAACTCTGAATTATAAACGTAGGCTTACTTTTCAGAGACTATCTCAGCTTCTCTTTAAATGCATATATATACTACAAGCAATATAGTGATCAGATTTTTCAATAATACTATTGAAGCTCTATGAGAACTGGACAAACTCCTCAACTGAAAGACTTACTGTACTGGAGGACATTCATGTAACAGCTTGATCTCTCTCCTTAGCTTAAAACAGAGCTGTGAAAATACAAATAAACAAACCAAAATAAAACCTGAGAAAGGCACAGTAACAGTTATTTACATAGCAAGACTGAGCAAGCTTATGAGCTTCTGTTCTCAGCAGAAATGTATGAACATTATGAAATAGTTTCCCTCATCTTAACATAGTGATTCTTTTTCCTTGTTCTTMATGTAGCAATGTTTTTATTTCACTTTTTTTTTGGTTTATTTATAGTGTGAAATAACTATTTTTAAAGAAAATATTCAGCAACTGTCTATTATCAGAAATAGCTGCAAAAATGAATCACCTGTAGCCCTTGGAAACGCACCAAGCCAGACTACATAAATTTGTTAATTTAGCCACTAGAGGGACCTCCAGGAATAGAATATATGAAAATATTTGCCAAGGCTGTTGTAAAGAAAAGCCAAGAGGCTATGCAAAGCAAACGCTGTTATTTGTTTATAATGAGCTCTGAAATTATGAGAAATGTGAACTTACAAGTACCTGATAAATTTCATCAAGAGGAAGCACTTTTTTTGGATGCTTGGTTACGGAACTTGGAGGGTTGTTTCTTTTTCACTGAATTAGTGAAATTGAAGTGTCTGCTTTTAAAAGATCTGCTACGTACTTGTAAGGTTGTGTGTTGCACTTCTGTGGGGTACAAAGCCAATATAATGACGCTCTGCAGAGTTGCTGAGAACTAGGGCTCAGGGGTGTCGCAGACAGCTGCTTCCTGCAGAACGGTTATTTTAGCGTAACCCTCAGTTCATTTCAAACTTCACCATACTTACACATGCGTACTCCAATGCAGTTATATCACAACTTCTTCGAACACAGGGGCTCTAATTTCTAAGTAATGCTGCAGATTAAAGGGTGCTCTTTTACATTCCCTTTTCTATTTTTGCACTATACAGGAAGGTATGATGATATGCACCAGGTTTGGGGGCTTAGCCCTGCTGAGAATATAAATGCAGCAGACTTTAATCCTAACTTTGTACTGTARAACATGAAGTATTGCTAATGTAAGCCACTATACCTCTGAAACACTGCAGGTGAGGACATGAGGAAGAGAACGTCTGATCACCTTAGTGAATCGAGGATGGATTTAAAATTTGGGATAAAAGGGTAAGTAGGCAACATGTATACATAATTTTTCCAGGAACCTTTAACAAATTACTTTGCATTCTTTGGCTTTACCTGCTACAATGGTACTACGGGATCTTTTGTGAGATGAAAGCAACCTGAAATTCCAGTTTGGCAGACCTGGTTCTTCATAGGTCTTCCGTGGCCTATTCACCAAGCTCACAGTTTTCATTTTGTTTGCATTGAGAGGTTCTTTGCTAGGAAAAGGTGTAGGTGGGGAAGGAAACATTGCTAGTTACTTTTTTGTTTTTCCTTTGTATTTCTCTGGGATACTAGAAAGTTATTTTATGAATGTTTGGAAAATCATTTGGTACAGATTTGTATCTTTGACTCTGACACAGGTTGTTATATCACTTGAATTGCCTGTGTAGAGCCTCCCACTTTATTACCTGGGGAGGTGCCTCTACTTTAAGGAATCAATCACAGCTTCACTTAACTGTTAGGCTGATGATTCCTGGCATTAAAAAAGGGGGTTGTGGAGTCTGCTACAGAAGAAGTGCTGCTTATCTATCCCATGCTGCTTGRCAATTGTCAGTACTTTAGAACCACTTTGGCTCCTTCCCATTCAACTTGCTGAGGAGGGGGTGAAAATTCCCGGGATTTCTCCAAGATTGGCCCTTTCCGTCTTTCAGCTTTTCTATTTGTTAAATCCAAATACGAAACGGAAGAGCGGTGGTGAAACTTCATKTGAGACGACAGGACTGGAGCCACGTTATGTGTACAACACGTGCTATTAGATGTTATAGATTAACACGATTGCAGGCAGGAACTCTTCCTTTATCTGATATTTCTGGAAGAGATTTAGTGATAATTAATGATACCTTTACTTGCTTCAACAACTAAGAGTGAAACTATTCCTGGAAATATCAGAACTTCTTCTTTTTCTTTTTCTTTCTTTCTTTTTTTTTTTTTTTTTAAATCATGTATAGGTATCTATGTAAGGAACTACAGTTACAATGTTTGGGGCATTTCAGAATTCAAAATTTTGGTTTGGTCAGTTTACTTGGAGCTTATTCAACTGTGTCATTTCACACAGATTTCACACTRGCTTTATTGCAGAGACAAGGAGGAGAGTTTTCTTGTGATGCAAGAAGATGATATCTCATTGTATTTTCATTTGAAGAAAAGAATTCATCACTATGGCCTAAGACACCTTTGCACAAGTAAGTAATGTGCAAGTGAATAATGTGAGTAATCAAATCCCTGTTCAGTCTCACAGGCTTCTAAGATTATAATATATTTGACATGTATTATGAGGAATATAATGCAGCATTTTGTCAATCTCTTTAGTTCTCTTTTTAAAAATATTCTCAGAAGAATCTTTTTCCATTATGAAAACTAATGAATGGTTAAGTACATCAAAGGCATCAGGAGAAGAGGTTACTGGGAGCGTTGAGCATCTGCTGAAACACAGTATGAAGGGAGAAAGTGCAACTACAATCTCCTGAGGGAGTCTCCTTTTAGTTTTATCAGGCTTCAAAAAATCTTTTGATTTTTATTTTTCCCATAGATACTGTCTTTACTGAAGATTGCAAGGAGGTTGGGAGCAGAGAAAAAGTGATACAAGAGGGAAGATGATAAATATGACAAAATGTGATGCAACAGAGTTGCTCTGCTACCTTCCTACCTCCATTTTTTAATTCTTACTGCCAGTGTGACCTTGAAGAAGGGTTCTGTCCTAAAATGAACTCCTGCTCTTAAACAAGTAAACTTTTAGGGCTTAAATCCTTAAAAATGACTTTTGGTCAAACAAAAATGATATCAAATAGAACTGGCTAACATTGTAGAAAAAAATGGATCTTTATTGATAGAAAACAAATTTCTTGGCTGTTATTTGCCTGTCATATAAAGAAGGTTAATTGACAAACATAGTTGTCTTCCAAACATTTCTGCAGATAGGCACCTGCTTTGCTCAGCCTGATGTGTTTTGTTTGTTTGTTTGCTTGTTTGGTCACTCTCTCTTCTATAGAAAAGATGAATATTGTTGTAAACAAACAGCAGGGCTAACCTTACAGACAAACAGCAAGTATCTTTTTTTCAATCTTATGAGACTCAGTTTTAAGACCTAGCCCAGCCACGCATTAAAACATATGCATAACTTTGAATGCATGAAATGAAATTATTGCTTGCATGCAATAAATGTTAAATATATGCACAGATCCTTTTTGAAATTTTGCTTTAGGACTCAAAACCTGGATATTTGTAGATAGTTACAATCTTTCCCCATACAATGTTGATACACCTATTTACAACRTCTAAATCTATGAAACAAATGTAAAAGGAGGTTTTGCATACAGACATAGTCACTCAGTAAGGGAGCATTCATACTGCTAATGTTAATGAGGATTGTCAGCTGCTTAACTGGATGGTCTCCAAACTCCAGATATCTAGTGTGCAGTAATATCTTCTGCAACATTACTTCATTCTGCTGACCGTATTCCCAAACTCTGTCCCCTCAGTTAAAAATAACATAGCACCAAAGAGGAGTGGAGAATTAAAAGTTGATTTAAATTTTCTGAATAGAAAGTTACCTGCTTTTTTCTTTCACCTTTGTCTTAAGAGAAGAATACAAGATCATCCTGCCTAAATAGCTTTTAAAAGTGTCTCTTTTTTTGAGATACAGGGACATACTCTATGGATTGCTGTATTTTGCTTAATTCTTTGGGGTCAASAAATTGTGACTCTTCTCAGAATGCAGAACTTCTCCTAATTACCCGGAGAATTATTACTATTAATTATACCATGGTGCTCTCTTTTAATGAATGTATGCCAAAGGCGTCACCTTCCCTGGACCTTCTTACCTCAGTATTTCCTCACGGTACTCCTGCTTGCGTTGACTCAAGGCAAGCCTCACAGCAGTGGTTGCAGTTTTGGTGGTAGGTTTCGTAGAGCAGAGCTCCTGGTAGCATTTCCTTGAAAAGAAATGAGGTGGTAGTGGAACCTAGAGGGGAAAAAAAGTGTTTTTTTAAACCTAGAAATGGTGAAGAGATTGAAGATTTTGTGAAGTAACTGGCAGTGTGTTCATAACTGTGTAGAGGTCAGGTAAGCAAGGTCAAGCAATGATCAGTGCATGTTTTACTGGGCTGGTTAATTATAACTTCCCTTAAATGACTGATATAAATATTTATTCTAAGGCTAGATGGGAGGGAATTAATAGATGCCAAAGTCACAAATTCTGGAATGGCATAGTAACTGTGCATCTTCCTGCTCAAGGAAGCTGGAATTAACTCACTTGAGGGAAAGAAGGAACTGAAATAACCCATGGATTCTCTCCAGCTGTGAAGTGAGGTGATGACAAGCAGTAGTGGAGATGGACAAAGTTGTTACTATACATTTTACAGCACTTTTGTCTTGACAGTCGGGTTTTTGGGGTATTCTGCAGCTTTGAACGTTTTACACTATCCATATCTGGAGATTCTGCTCATGTGCTGTGCAAAGTGTCTGACCAGAAATGTCTGTCTCCAGGACAAATCTTGCTGTGTGTATATATAATAAGCGCAAATGTATTAAAGAGCCCCTAACAAGGATTTTGCTTAAATTTAAGAATTGAAGTTAAGCTCATTCATTGTTAAGCTCATTCTCCCCACAGAAAAGATGAAACCATAGTCTTCTAGTAGTCTTTACACAGTCTTTATTTCAAAAATGAACACTTCTCTCCCTTTCCAATTTTCTTACCTCTGCTCTAAATCTTAAGGCTGAGCTTTTATTTGCTCAAGTTGTTATTGTCATGTTTTCAGGCTTTTCTTTGTGTCTGAGGTCTAGATGCTTATTTGTATGGCAGTTTTCCATGGGAAAGTTTAATATAATGACATGCCTGTGTGAGCAGAATTTCGTAATTAAAATAGAGAATATTTCAAAGGTAATTATTATATCAAGACTGTTGTAGGAAAGTATTCGAAAAATCTAGTACTCGATTCCCAGTTCAGCATTGAGTCACTTTATCTACATCATTGCCTGTGATTTTAAAATGATCTACCRGTTGATTAAATTGTGGACTCTTGAGGAAATGGAATTCAACGAAATATTTGTTCTAATTCAAGCAAATGATCTGAGAAAAAAAAAATCCTTGAAAAACAATCTTCACCTCCAACATCTCCCATTTTCTAGTTGGGCAGAAACAGGAAGCTATATTTCAAAACAAAGCAAAACAAAAGAACACCCCCAAAGTAACCCTACAGCAAGCAACCAACAAAACATATGATTTCCCTGCCAGCCAAGAATTCAGTCCAATCTGTAATTGCAAGTGTAATGGCTTTTAGCATATATTGATACTACTCAGATACCTTAAGTTAAAAGTCTTTGATTCTCTAGGGAAGTAATAACATAAAAGATCAAAGTGTCACTTTATAGCTTGCTGCGCCACTTATAAACATTCAACAGTGATAAAGGTTATGACTTTGCAGTTTTATCTCACGCAGTAGTTATAAAATGAATGAACAAAACAAAAAGATAACAGATAATTAACATATGTAGCAATGCATAGATTTAGAGGGGCATAACTGCAGATGAGATAAAGAAATACAGATCTGAGCTGGAACAAGCATTTCTGATCTACTCTAGTCCAAAGGTGGGATTTTCAGAAATGTTTTACTACTCCAACTCCCATGAAATTACTGGAATTGGGAGCGTTACCATTGGCTTCACTGGCAGTACCATCAGACTTCCAAGACTGACTGCACATCAGGTCTCCTTTGTACAAGCAGCTGCATCCTACAAATGTAAAACTTTATTGTCATACTTGCAAGCAATGAAATAATAAATATCACAGTCATTATTCMTCTTGCTACRGTTTCTTAAACACTGAGACCAAATCCTGATTTTTCTTAGGAAACAACTCRGTGTATTTATTATGTTAGTATACCTTATTATATTCAAAATATAGTATATTAATATCTTTGTATTTAATACCCTACATCCTCCTTGCTAATCTTCACACATATTTTTTTGTCTCTTCACTATCATAACACTCATATTTGGCTCAGTAAACAGTTTTTTTAAACACTTCTCCTCCTCCTCCTTCCACTCTTAGCTCTTCTATGTTTACATCATACTCACTGGATATTTTTTCTTAACCATCCATCGGTAATACAGTAAAATAAGTGCATTTTGAGGACATTATTGATTCTAGTGAAAAGAGGTTTAGCGATTGCCTGAATACTCGTTTTAAATATTTTCAGATTGAAAATAGATTTTTTGTAAAGATTCTTTGAAAAATGTAGTTAAAATTAGAGGATCAACCCAAWACTTTATGAAAGCTTTTCTGATATGGTAAATAATTCAAAGTATTAGGCCATGGAAAATATTTTAGATTTTTCTTGCTTTGCAGTAAGGATATAATTGAAACAAACTTCAGTTGTTTGGAACAGATTCTCATTGACCCCCTAAGGATCAAATATAGTTCTTAACACTTTACTTTCCTTAGCTTAGCTATTTATGTACCCAGCACTTCTCCAACTTATGTTATGGAAGTGAATTATATAGATCACGCAGGAAAAAAAAAAAGTTTTCTTCATTTTGGATATACCGGGATTTCTGTTCTATATTTTATTCAAGTAMAAAAAAAAAAAAAAAAARACCCAAACAAAAAGATAATACCACAATATTTCTAAAGCATTTTGAAAACATTTTCAAGTAAGAACAAAAGCTATTAACAAATAGCCTCCTGTAATTTTGCCGAAGTCTTAAAATTATGTTTTAATTGCACAGTTGTCTCCAGGATAAGGTTGTCAACATACAATATAGGTTAGACCTTAAAATAAAATAGAACATTTAGATAAACACATTTGTTAACTTTGATAACTTATGTTAATTAATCAGGTTAGTTCTCAAATAGCGAGCCTATGAGGGTAGCAAAGTCTGTCTTCCTTTGGTCCTTTTTTTTGAGGTGTATTGTAGGAAATATTGCTAGTTATTTTAATAGTATTTACTAGTTTGTGGCTATTCTCTATTCGAATGGCTAGGAGTCCAGCCCAAAGACTCATGGAGATGTCCTGTTCTGTTGCCCAGCGTRTGCTAAGCTGAGGTGATCCTCATCCCGATGGAGGCCCTTGTTTCTGAAGCTCCAGCAAGGCTTTGGTTGGTGCTCCTGGAGTGAAAACCGCAATGTTTCTCTCGCAGGCAGCGGGGCAAATTCTAAATAATGGCCAAAATGCAGACAAGAAGTGGAAGGGCTCATCAGGTCACGCTCAGCTCRCGCATCCCAGGGCCAAGGTGTCATTCCAGAGTCATAAAAAGGTCTTTTTTTAGAGAATTGGGCTAGCTTTTCACTATGTTCTTAGTCAATCCCTTGACTGTTGGTTTGAAATACGATTTGCTAAGCTTGTTTCTGCCACTTTTGCTTCCCTCGGCCGGTGGCCACGGCGGCGTTGTCGTGGCCGGGCGCGCCGTCCCTCGCGGGCCGTGGCGCGGGGCCCTTTGCCGCCCGCTTTATTTAGCGCCGTATCTCCGTGCCGCATTCCTGCGCCAGCTCCTCGGCACCCGGCTCTATTTCGGGCTGGCAGAGCACGGCGCCGCGCGCATCCGAGGCCGCCCTTGTCCTCAGCGGCGGGGAGGCAGATCCCGAGCTGGTTACGCTCTCACGAGCCATGAGGGAACGGCGGTTATGTGCCCATGGGGAGAGGGGATAGAGGCGGGCGGGCTGCGCGGCGCCCTCCGGCGGCGGCGCCATCGCTGCGGGCTCGGCCCCGCCGCCGCTTCCCCTCACCTTGGCCGGGAGCCGCCCCCGGGGGGCCGGGCCAGCGGCGGGAGGGCGCCCGGCGGCACGGCAGGGCAGCGGCGGCGGCAGTGCCCGAGTGCCGGCCATGTCGTCGAGCTCGCCGCCCGCCGAGCAGCGGGCGCGCAGCCTCGGCCGCCTCTCGCTGCCCGGCCGCGGCAGCCTGACGCTGGGCAAGAAGCCGCCCGCGCTGGAGCTGGCCGAGGGCGCCCCGAGCGCCCGCTACGCGCCCATCCTCGCCGCGGGGCAGGCGCCGCCAGCGCCGCCGGGCTGCAGCGGCGATGCCCCCCGCGAGCGGGAACGGGAGCGGGAGCGGGAACGGGAGCGGGCGCGGCGGCTGCGCGGCGAGGCGGCCGCCGTGGTGCTGAGCGCCGAGTGCCCGCGCCCGCCCGTCAGCCTCGACCCGCGCCCGCCCGTCAGCCTCGACCCGCGCGTCTCCATCTACAGCCTCCGCAAGCCGCTGCTGAGCCGCAGCAACGTGCAGGGCCGCGTGTACAACTTCTTGGAGCGCCCCACGGGCTGGAAGTGCTTCGTCTACCACTTCGCCGTGTGAGTGGCGCGGCGCGGGCAGCCGCGGGGAGCCCCGTCGCGGCGGGCGCCCCTCGAGGCGCGCGCGGCCGTTTAACGGTCCGGGCGCAGGTGGCTCCGCTCGCATCTCGCCCCGTTTCCATCGAGAAACGGCGTTGCCGCTGCTGCCGTCCGGCTGGGTTGGACCCGGGGGACGGGTGCGGGTGGTAGGGGCAGTCCCAAGCGACTGGCACCGTAAGGAAACGGAGGGGTGCAGTGTTATTTTCCACGTGGGAATGTCCTGGATGCGGCAGGTAGGAGAGCGAGCGGCACCAGCTTTACCTTAGCTGGGGGAAAAGCTGCCACGAGAGCGTGGCCCGGTGCCGGCCGCCGAGGCGATGGCGGGTTCTGCCCCGCGCCCTTGTGACGGTGCCGTGAGGTGACAAAGCGGCTAATGGCGCTAATTGCAAAAGTGTGTAACAGTTGTGGGTTAAGAGCCCAAACACCTTCAGGAGCTGGAGTTCTGCATGTTCTAAAAAAGAGGTGAGAGAGCAGGGGAAGAAAAAGGCAAAGCCTTGGCTCAGCTGTCCTGTGTATCCGTCCTGTCTCAGGTGCCTCAGATTTTGTGTGGAATGGGCAGTGAATCGTGTTGACTATCKTAGCCGTTCTTTAAAAACATACTGAAACAGAAACCGTGGCAAGGTGTCTCTCAGGGTACATTGAGTCAGCGTCTCCATGACATTGCCCATTGGATCCCTCCATCTACCAGAGAATCTGCCCCGAATCTGAATATTTTTTGGGGGAATAATTAGCAATGAGCGTTATGTTTCTGTAATTCCACTTCAGGAAAGAGGTTGTGGTACACGTGGGAAGCTGCTGCCTGTGTCTTTCCCCGGCGCCTGCTCGTAGCGTTGGCCCCGGTGCTTCCCGGCTTGCCAGAAGAGTGTAGTGCTGAATGACAGGGGTGCTGCGTATTCTCGAGGGTGTTGTTGCATTACACATTGTGCAAGCTCTTTGTCTCAGCACTCTAAGGAGACAGGTGGGGGTGCTGCCACCCCTATCCGTTTCTTACAGAGCAAGTAGCAGGTACCTTCTGTGTATTTTTAGGCATCCTTCATCTGGTTTCCACCAGCAGAGGGAGTTGAGACTGTATGTTCCTCAGCCTTCCTGAGGTCTGCCTAGTTCTGCCATTGCTGCTAATCTTTGTGGTTGCTCATTTTAGATGTATCTACCCTTCCAACTCTGCCTAGCTTTCTAAGCTCCTGCAGCTAATTCCCAGGATGCTGGTTTTCCCCTTGACCAGGAGATCCTCTCTTTGACTGCTGCCCCTGCCAGCCAGGTGCCAAGCACTGTTAGCCTAAAAACTGCTGCTAAAATGGAGCGGGAAAAAATGAAGCTCTTCCTCTAGAACCCAGCAGTTTGCTTTGAAAAGTAAAGGAAGAGGCAGGCAGGCAGTTCTAATCTAGATAAGGAGCTCCTGAACTTTGGAGGAGGTGTGAAACTTGATTTTGTGAATGTAGTTTTCTGTCTTTTTCATTTGTTTTTGCAAGCGTTTGGCTACTACTGATGAGCTGAAGAGCTAAAAAGAAGTCAGCTACCTGTGCTGGGTCCTACCCAATTTTCTTTTTATAAGGTCTCCCCCTTCCTCCGTCTCCAATTGTGCTTGTCTTTCTCTGCTTCTTGAAGTAGTAACTTCATGTTTTTGCCAACATACAAACAGGCTTTCATAGAGAGCTAAGCTGGGTTTTGGCTTCTGATGTGCACTATGATGATGCTTGTCCCTCTTGCGAAGATGAGTGTAGAGGACCAACCTTGCTGGCCTCTGTGACTCCCTCTGCTGGTTATTTCTTGCTGTCTCCTGTGGGATTGCTGTTCACTGACAAATTTTTGGTTCTTCTGATGGGTTTAAATCAAACATCTTGGAAGCAGAGGGACTCTGAATGGAGAGAAGTAGAACAGGACCATAACAGTGATGTGGAGTCATGTTATATCAGGGCAGAAAGACTTAATCTGAGTAGAGTCCTGGGTAAGGTCTAAGCACAAGAATGGGAGCAGCAAGCATTGCAAATCTCTTCATTTTCTATTATACTGGATGTATAGATGTACTGTCTGTATACCATGGAAATAGTCTGTATGTGGAAAGAAATTTGGGAACAGCAGTTAGATGATTTTGCTGCCTTACCTGCTCTAATGTTGTGTTAAATTTATTTCCAATGTGTGAAGTACATAGTATGTGCACACCCAATGCTCATTAGGTGATGATTCGTATTGTACAGTTTCTGCAGACACAAGTTACTTGAAAACTAAAGTTTTGCACACCGAAGTAAGAACTTGCTCCATGGTTTAGCCAGATGGTTGACTAGGTCTTGCCAAAGCCACTAAACCCATGGCCATAAGAGGAGTTGCAAATGAGAAAATGAGTGAGTGCCACTGTTTTCCATGTCTTACGGARTTAGGCCATATTATTCCACTTACCAAAAATAATGCCCTTTGAGGCACTAGTAGTGAAAGAAATATGTTACTAGAGGTGAAATATTCTGTGCTGTTAACTAGTTATGCTTGCAAGTACACGAAGTGAGGCACCGTGATGCAAGAGGCTGAGGTTTTATCCTTACAGTGGCTGGCTGAAATCCTGAGACTCTTTGTCCCTATGTTGAAACTGAGTGCAAAAAAGGAAGTGAATTCTTGAGGTCTTTTTGAAGGTTGTTTTAGGTAGRTAGGAAAGAGCTTCTCGCCCTCTTTCATGGCTTAAAATCAAAGATCCTAGAATTTGTGTAAAGGAACTTCAATCATGAGGTTTCTGGTGGTTTCTCCCTTGTTTTCAGTATCATAAATAATGACTTCTGGCACCAAACACTGTGTCTTGACTTCCTGTGTTCTTTGAGGCGTTGGCCATTAGCAGAGAGAACAATTCAGAAGCTGATAGACCATTGGTGTGTCCCGCTATGGCAGCTCTCATGTTGCCCTGCAAGCTTCTCTCCTATCTTTGTGACACAGCACGGCGCCTGGTTCAGTTTGCTTTGCCTTTGTATAAGCTACTTTTAATCAGCTGTGATTGCTTGCCATTTATGTGGCTCCCAAGAAGCTTACGCAGGCTTGGACCAGCCAGTGGTTGTGAGCTGGGAGACTGGTCCTGAGAAACTGGTCCTGAGCAGATGCATGATTCCCTAATCCCTCAGGAGTGTGACTGCTGGTGTGCCCAAGCACACATAAGGAACGATGGTAAATAGAATATTGCAGCTACCTGGTGTTTCAGGACTTATAGTGATTCGTTTTTAAAGACCTTGTGTTGTTTACATCCAATACTGTGACAAAGAAGTGCAACTCCAAGCTGACTTCTCAAGTTATAGCTGTGCAGTATCTTACAAATATCTTTGGGGTAGCATGCATGCTTGGGGAGAATGGAGAGGAAACAAGGGGATTTGGTTTGTCTGGTTTTCTTAGCCCTACTCTGCAGTCAGTTGCTTTATTTTGCAGTAAGGTGGACGTCTTTGCAGCTCAGCACTGTGTATCTATGAATACATCTGGTAACATCTGAAGTACATCTGAACATTTGAAGTAAAAGGGATTAAAAAGCAAGCTTTCCATATGCCCAGAGAGCAAGGGAGGCTTTTTGKGTGGTTCATGATCATAGCTGGCTGCATATATAAGACAGTTTGCTAATATTTAGGAGTCTCTGCTGCCTGGTCAGCCCTGCTACCTCTCAGACAAATATTTAGTCATATTTTGAGACACAGGCAGACTTCKGTTCCACTGTGAAGCTGCAGTGTTTTATCACGTCGTGTATCCACTGCTACCCTAGAGTGGAAGCAGTCCAGTGAAAGAATATTGCCAGACCATGAGGCCATAATGTGCAGTATTTATCTGTAATTTTCAATTGCACAGCACGAGTGTTCCAGCATGTGAGCAAAAGGTTTCAGTAGATTATACCTGAAAGGTAATTGAATGATTGGAGCATGATAACTTCATGCTATCTGTTTCATAGAAGTTGTGAAATGCTGATACTAACAAAGTGCAGAATTGGTGAGAAGTTAAATAAATTTTCTTGATAATTAATTGTCATCAGAAACAAGCAGATCCTTGCAATGTCACCCACCAGTAGCTACTACCTAGAACGAAACCACTTGGACGAAACTTACTTCGATGAAACCACTGTCTTTGCTTTATCTGTTGCCTTGAGCAGTTGCTCTGTGAGAATGATCGTGGATACTTTGAACATTCAAAGGGGAAGGAAGGTAGGAGCTGGGTATTTTTTATGAGAATGTCTTTTGAAGGAACACGCTGTCTTTAGTTAATAATAAAATCTAATTTCTCCTTCAAAATGYGTGATACCACATGAGCAGTCACTTGAACAAGCTGGCACAGTGTCACCTTAGCCCTGTTGTCTGCAGGCAGGGACCCATTAAGAGGCCGTGCTTCTTGAGGGAAGTCCTCTTGGGTTTGGGGAGAATAAGGCTTTGCAATTGTACCAATGCTTAGAGTTTTGAGAAACTGATGGAAGCAGAAGGCTGTTAATTCAGCAAATCAGTACTAGAAGTCCTAGAATTCTAGTACTAGAAGTACTAGAAATTGCAGAGACAATTTGTGTGGGATGGACAAAYTACTTTGCAGAACCCACGCATAACGTTTGTGTATTTGTTAAGTTTGGGCAGGTTTTTGTGGAGATAGACCCTCTTCTCTSTCTGCCCAGTCATCCTTCCAGTATACTATTCCAGGTCCCTCTCTGGTGTTTGCTTTCCTTCAGGAAAAGAATTATTCTACTTGGCTTTGAAAGCTGCGCGTGAATGATCTTAAGAAACCTGGTAGGTGCAGCGTTGACCTTCCTGGCTCTCCGGCCAACGCTCGGTTGAGCAGTTCTGGCACGCTTCCTTGCCCCAGCTCTTCAAGTGCCAGGAGAAAAACATGCCAGGCCATGCAGACGGGCCTCTTGCAAAGCCTTTATTGCAACTGAATCAAGGCTAGAGCTGAGATTCAATTGCAGGCAGCTAATTAGGCTGAGCTCCAAACGCCYGAGCGCTGGATTTATTACGAACAAGAGTGCC